GAGAGAAAAAGAGAGGCCACTTGTACATGTTCTATGTACAACCAACATTTTAACACTGGAATTATAGCTCTGACTCACTTGAATCCAGGCACTCGTAAATTTAAGATGAGGTAATCATTATCTGAGCCGCCCACTCCGCTACGAATGTGGTCGCCAGCCACCTCCCAACCTACAGAAGCAAATAGGCATCGGGTAACATGTTTGACCATTCTTTTCATTCTCGTTGTATAATTATTATATAGATGCCATATTTATGTCTTCATATTAATTGAAAGACTACTCTGAAAAAATATTAATGAATCAATGTTCACTCAGAAATTGCTAGGAAATTTCACAAATAATTACATTTCTTACCATTCATTTCATCACATTTGGAGTTGCCCACATTAAAACAAGAAGTTTTCATATTCCTCGGCAGGATGTTCCACCACTTGTATTCATATCCTAAAGAAGGTTCGGTTCCTCCCGGGCATCTTTGACATTCTGTGCCAAAAGGAATCTTCTCCATTATTCACCAGTACCAGTAAACCAACAGTGTTGCATAATACACGAGTATGTATCTATGTTAATGTATGTCTATATACCTGTGGTGCCATCAGAATAAGTGCCTTGACGGCAAGGTAAACAGGTGGAAGAGTTGTGCATGTAGAAGCCTGGATTGCAGGGTGGACAGTCCTCTTTCTCTCCAGAAGGGGGCAGTGTCACAGAACCAGTCACATTCTCCACGCACACCTGAGGCTCCACCCACCTGTACAGTATCTGGGTCTAAAATAATACAGCAATATAAAAGTGAACAAATTATCCACACATAATTTACAACAACAACAAAAAAACATTCAGCATTATAACCTACCTTGCCGTCACTATCACAGGCCGTGTGGATTTGAAAATAGTCTTTCTCTGAACAAGGAGGTCTCTCTTTACACTGTGACCATCCCTCCTCTAGAACATGTAGAGAAACATCAGGGTGACCATACATCCTCTTTTTCCTGGCCAGGAGTTCTAAATTGCCTAAAATTTCCAGATTTTGGCTTTGTTTTCCTATTGACATGCTCTGTGCAGTCCTAGAGTCCAATTGGACAATTATGTACAATGCCTGCTTGCTATTGGTCAAACTACCTTCAGTAAGTATGAATACTTTACTGAAGGTAATGACTGAAAAGTAGTTTGACCAATAGCAAGCAGGCATTGTACATAATCGGAAAACAAAGCAAAACCCAGACATTTTAGGCAATTTAGTAATACCGACCAGGAAATGTCCAGGAAAAGAAGATGTATGGTCATACTAAAAACATTATACACACTGAAAAAGTGTTTAAGTTACTGGATTGTATTGGATTCATGCTAAAATGATCACAACAGATCAGATGCAGATTGTTTGGTAAAGCAAAGAATGTAAGAAATCATCTGAATGATTGATTTTTGTGTGTTCGTACGGGAGTACTGTGTCTTGGAGCATGGTGTACACGAACTGGCTCCCTTTCCAGAGTAAGTGTTCCTGGGGCAAAGGTCACATGAGGAAGAGCCTGGGGTTTTACTGAAGGTGCCCGGCCTGCATGGAAAACACTCTGACGTGTATGCCACACCTGCTCACAAAACGTGTAAAAAAAAATATATATGACCATAAAATATCACAACACAAATTGTTCAGACTGCATCTGAATTGATTTGTCATAACAAAGGGTGTGAGACACAAAAGTAGACATGATTTCATCAGAATCTCACACCTTCGATCTGGATGTTCTTCAAAAGGACCGGTTTCACTGGTTTCCCACCCAAGAGCATTCCTGTGGTTCTCCAATACAGAATATTAGTTCCCGACTTCAGATTTACCTGTGTCATGCAAAAACAGCTACATTAGACATTAATACTGCATAATCCTTAAAGCAATAGTTCACCCAAAAATGAAGATTCTGTGATCATTTTATCACTTACATTTTGTTCCAAACCTGTCTCTGGAAAAAAAGACAAGATATTTGGTAACTAAACAGTTAAAGTGTTTTGTTATCAACATTCTTCAAAATATCTTCTTTTGTGTTCAGCAGAAGAAAGAAAGTCATACAGGGTTGGAACGTCATGAGAGTAAATAATGGCTGAATTTTCACTTTTGGGTGAACTATCCCTTTTAATAAGAATAAAATATCCAAGATGACTAACCGTATGGGTTCCCCACTCTCCATTAGTGGTGAGTTTGATCCATTTCTCACTCCCTGTCTGGTCCATCTCCTGACATTGGTCGTTCTGAATCTGCACCAAAAATAAAACACATTATTTTGATATATGATATATGTTCACTTCAACACATTTGTAGAAAAAAAAAAGAAAGATGTATGAAGTAAAACACACAAAGAACTCAAAGAAGATGTTGCTGTCGACATATTGATAGTCAAAGGAGACGGATCCCTGCTTCATGAGATGCACCGCGTACACCAGCGCTACTGTGCAGTCATCACGATTGGATTCCAAGTGAGTTCCCTGAGCTGTCCATGAAGAACTGCAATTGAACAGCACAATGTAAACCGACAGATCCAGATCAGAAAATACACTGCAAAAGATTAGAGAATAGAATATGCTTATATATATATATATATAAACAGAATATACTTGTTGCAGGTCATTGAGTCGTCCCCTGAACCTCCTGAGTCCATGTATGTAGCCAAACTGCTGAATCCCGCAGGAATGGAGTCCCACTGATCGAAACGCACGCCGCTGCCCAATGAATAAGAGCCGGCCGCACATGATGTGCACTGCTGGGATGACATCTCTAAAAACTCCCCAGCTTCACAAGAAAAAGCTGTACAACAAGTAAGCATAGACTGTGTTTGTTTACTGACACAATACCAAGGATCTCAAAAGTATTAGGACATATTTAAATTGCTTAAATGTCATTGCTTTTGATAGCAAAATATAAAACCAAGGAAACGTTCCCACAGTGTGCTTGGCTAACTTTCTTTAGGTTAAATGTCACTTGGTTTGATATTTTAAGTAATGCAATGTATGTTCATTAAGAGTGTCTATATGTGGTTGTTTTCTTACTGCAGTCTGTGCCTCTGACAGGTTCTGGAAGGCCTGAGCAGCTCCCCTGTCTGTGAGGAATGGCAACTCTCCATCTGGAGCCCGTGCTGTCACACTCTGTGTACTCAAAGTAGTAGTCTGTCTGAAACACACATACAGATATCGACATATTCAAGCATTTACATCAAACACAGGTTATGGTCAATAAAAGTGACCTTTTTTTTTTTCATAAACCAGTAAGAAAAAAAGTAGTATTTACAATCTTTTAATAAATATAATTTTTAACATATAATAATATAATATTATACAATAGTATTTTTGAATTTTTTTTTTTACATTTTGTAATGTTACTACTACTTAATGTATGAACTGTCTGAAACACACATTCACACTGACATATTCAGACATTTACATCAACCACAAATTATGGTCATTAAAAGTGACAATTTCATAAACCAGTAAGGATAAAAAGTTTAATATTTAGAATATTTTAATACAGATTTTTTTTTTCTTTTTAGCTTTCGCCACTGGAACAGCTTATCCCAAAGTTTACTTTACCCCACAGCTACCATTCTGTTTTAAAATACATACATACATACATAAATACAAAATCATGGGCAAAATTTATTTTGACATGCATAAAAAAGGTTTTTAGCATAAATTAAAATAAAATAAAATAATAAAATGTGTGCTCTTCTCAAACACAGGCAGCTTTACAGAAAGTGCCCTGTCAAAAAACATGGTCATGTGACATAATTTGTGCCATTTTCTTTTTATATTAAGCAGGTAGCACATCTTATATTATATTAACCCTACAGTTTCCAAAACACACATAAATGCCAAGGATCCGAAAAAAGATAACGAGGTTTCGTGATGTCTATGCATAAACTACAGGCTGAAATGCGAACAGGCTGCGCTCTGCTCAACGATAAGCTCCTACTGTATAGTTGCGCTTACGGGCGTCTGACGTCACGCTTGGCTGGTCTCCCAGTCAATTCACATCGGCATCTTTTATTTAGGCCAACTTAACCTTTTTGCTACATTTTAGGATAACTAATGATAATGTTCCAAAAATAAAATAAAAACAAATACATAAATAAATAACAAACACTATATAGTTGAACACTCGACGATGTTCTTAAGTGACCCTTAGTAAGAAAGTCATGCTGGGAGAGCATGACAGAGACAATACGCAATAAATAATTCAGTAATATTACACCATCACGCAACCTTATTTATTGTCAGGATGAAAAGAAAACAAGGTGAAAACAGGAAACAACAATGCAACTGAGCGGAAAAAGGAATAGCATAAACATCTGCAAAATCTTTGTATGTGCACACAAGCTTGATTATCCTCCTTCCATGTGTGGAATATATGTCACTTTTTTTCGTTGTTTATTTATTTATTGTATTTATTGCCTTTTGGCCTATGCATGCATTATTGTAAGAACATCACCAGTGATTATAATACTTTTGACGCTATTACAAAGATGAAACAGATTACATTTCTAAATCATTCAAGCAAAAAAATACAAGCTTGATCATCCAACTTCCAGGTGTGGAATATGGCATTTTTGACATTCTAAGACTGTACAATAACTCGAATAAACAAACTCGTTGTTTATTTATTTATTTATTGCCTTTTTGGCTTATGCATGCATTATTGTAAGAATATCACCAGTAATTATAATAATTTTCACGCTACAAGCAGGAAACAGATATACAGGAAAGTTACACATTTTCAATTCTAAACCATTACAGCAAAAAATGTTTCCTTATTTATTTGAAATCAGTTATTGTAAATCAAATTGCTTTGTTCTGGCAGCGCTTTCCTTGGCAAACAAACAAACAGGCGTGGTTTAGGCATTTTTTCCCCTTAAAGATATGCCAAGGTACACTTGAATAAGCCATTTAATACAAGTAACATATTTTCTCCAGGTTTAACAGCAGATGGCGCTGCTGAGACTGCAATTAATGTGAAAGTTTTGTGTGTGAGTGCTTACCACATAATAAATCCTTACTCAAAAAGCGTGTTTCGTCCACATATAAGGTGACAACCCACACAAAGGTGCACTTATAAAAGACAAACGAACATTCGGTCAAAAACATTCAAACAGCTTCCAGAAACGGAAGTCACCGGCGGGCTTCTGTAGACACTTCCGCTCTGCATGAGGAGAAGCAGTCCATCCTGGTATTTGCCTTCATCCTGGTCACTGCGAAGTCCCCGTACCCAAAACAGGAAGTAAGTACCAAAACCAAAGCTAAATTTCACGTTCGCTCACCTCTGTGCGCTGGACTTGTTTCTTTATATTCTACACATGAAAAATAACGCACCGACATCGAATAAATGCCGTCGAGGCCTCACGGCTTCATGTTGCACATAAACATGGCGTCTCATTATTCCTCATCTGCTTATATTAAATAAGCACACTGGAAATTTACAACAAGGCAGTAATCAGAATGGCGCATACTATGATTTTATGCTGATATTATTCAGCTTCTCCATAAAAATGTTTTAACTGAGGTCGCGAGTCATGCATTTGTGTGTTTTATTCAAGTTTGCGTTGGCTTAAATGTCTATGGTTAAATATATTCAGCAACACTGGTTGCAAGCAAACCGTCTGAATTTTTACATTAGTATAATGAATATCCAGTATAGTGCAAATCAAGTGTTTAGGCTTCTCTTTAGGACATTAGAAGTGAGTCTCTCTGACTCTGTGTGTATTAACCCCTAGGCTGAGCATGAACACAGGGGATGTCCCAGCCACTGTGACCCTTGACTCCATCAATTCTGTCACATTTACTCAGGACTCTGATGGAAACATAATTCTGCACTGCCCTCAGAATGGTGAGATCACAACCTGCGACCCATCTCATGATATTGTGCTTTATTATATTGTATTTGTTTCTATAATGTTCTTGTATGGTTTGGACATGCAGATGGGAAGGATCTGGGTTCAGACGGGACCACCGAACCTGTTCACAAACGACTGCGGTTGTCCAGTGAAGATGGAGAAGACCCTCAGGACTCTACCTCAACGGAGTACTCTGTTGTCACTCTGCCAAGTGAGTTTAAACACACAATCACACATGTTTGTGCACCGTTTATACTTAAAGTGACTTTTATACCAAATGATAATGCAAAAATTGACTGTTTTCATATCGTTTTCCTAAACTTTCCCCTAGTGACAATATAATGCACTAAACTGTAAAGGGATATTTTATGAACTGGTTTGTTCTGATTTTAGTTACAGAAGGTGATGAAAGCTTCGAGGTGACAATGACTGCTACAGAAATGAGAGATGGGGAGCTGGAATCAGACGATCCTTCTGAAATACCGGTATAATTCATATGTTTATGAGTGCATAAAGCTTAGTTATCAGCTTTCATTGCTAGCTTTGCATGGATTTAATACTTCATTTAGTGTCTTATTTATTTATTTATGATTTTTTTTAGGTGATTTTGTGTATATATGTAAACAGTATTTAGTAAGTTATATATATACATTTTTATGTACACCTATAAAAATGTTGTTTGTCAACAGGATAAGGATTCTTCTGTCCAAAAGAAAGATAAAGATGTATCAGCTGTCAGTCAAGCCTGGTTCACCACGAAAGAGGATAAAGACACACTGGTTAATAAGGGTAAGACATATTCCCATAGATACAGGTCTGTATTGTAATCCCAGCACAAGAAATATAGGACCTGATATCAATGCACGCAGTCATTGTATTTATCATATATCCTCAGGTCACAAATGGAAACAGGGCATGTGGTCAAAAGAGGAGATTGATCTCCTGATGAGCAACATAGAGCGATATTTAAAGGTGAGCATGCTTTATAGATGCATCACATTTGCTGGAGGTGCCATCTTTGATTTGCACCCTCAATATTCATCTGTCTGTGCATCCCAACTCAGAACCGAGGCATTCAGGACCCTGCGGAAATCGTCTTTGAGATGTCAAAAGAGGAGCGAAAGGATTTTTACCGCAGTGTAGCGTGTGGTTTGAACAGACCGCTGTTCGCTGTATACAGACGTGTACTGCGAATGTACGATAACCGAAACCACGTAGGCAAGTAAGGATGCAGTTGCTTTTATTGATCTCTTAAGCAGATTTACAAACCCAAACTGAAACAATTATATATCTAAAATGACTGGTGTAATATTTGATATGTGCTATTGTTGTTGTTTAGATACACTGATGAGGAGATCAATAAATTGAAGGGGTAAGTTCAGCCATTAATCTTGAATGCCATGAAGTGTGATCTGAGTTTGTGAGTCTACATTGTCAGATTTGGGTGTGTGTTATTAGGCTAAGGGAGAAACATGGAAATGACTGGGCTACCATTGGGACGGCACTTGGCCGCAGTGCTTCGTCTGTCAAGGACCGCTGCCGACTCATGAAGGACACATGCAACACCGGTCAGTTTTTCCAAATTTTCATTTTAGTGTCCCACCGAAGAGGTCGATTATACCAGGAGAAACATATCTGTTTAAAATATTCACTATACTTTTTTACTATATTTATTATTTTACTATATTTACTATAATATTAATTCATAAAAATAAAAATAAATCATATATATTATTTATTTATTTAATTTTATTAGAATTTAATTTTTTTATTATTCATTAATAAAATAAATGAAAATAATCATATATAAATATAATGCTAATTATTTTTATATTATCATGCGAGTTTTAAAATATATTTTATAACATAGAAACATGTTTATTAAACAAAATAAATGTAAACCAAACATGTTTCTGTTATGAAAGCTATATTTTAAAACTTAATTATTAAGATAATTAGCATTATATTTTTTATTATAATTATAATATTTATTAATTAACTATTACAAATATTGTAATTGTTCTTTTATTAGAATTATTTAATATATTAAAGTACATTAAACAAATGTTTCTGTTATATATTTTATAAAACTAATGAATTATTAAAAATAATTATGTTATTCTAAATTATATAGAATATAAATAATATAATATATTATGTAGTACATTTTAAATATACTTTTTTTTGTATTTTTTAGATATATAGTTGTGAAAATGTGACACTAACATCCTCTTAAACTCCCACGCTTCAGGAAAATGGACGGAGGAGGAGGAGAGAAGGTTGGCGGAGGTGGTTCATGAGTTGACTGGCACAGAGGCGGGTAACGTTGTAACTCAGGGAGTCTCTTGGGCATCTGTGGCTGAACTTGTCGGCTCTCGCTCAGAGAAGCAGAGCCGCTCCAAATGGCTCAATTACCTTAACTGGAAACAGAGCGGTGGCACGGAGTGGACCAAAGAAGATGACATCAACCTTGTTCGCAGGTAGTTCACAGCAAAAGGGCCGGCATGGACGGTATATCTGTTCACAAACTAATTATGAATCATTTATGATAACTATGTATGAGCAGGATAGCTGAACTGGATGTGGAGGATGAGAATTACATTAATTGGGACATTCTGGCCGGTGGGTGGAGCAGCGTTCGCTCGCCTCAGTGGCTCCGCAGCAAATGGTGGACCATCAAGAGACAAGTGGCCAATCACAAGGAACTTCCCTTTCCTGGTGAGACAAAGTCTTCAGAGTTAGCATGTCTGTTATAATGTGAGTTCAGACACTGAAGCAGTGTTTTCTGTGTGGTGTAGTCTTGTTGAAAGGGCTGCAGGATGTTGTGGAGGCACCGCCGTCTGCGATGAACAAGGTCGTGGTGGTTGGTTCCCGATCTGCTAATGCTTCGCCCAGCCCCGTCACCGCACTGCAGATCCCTGTCCAGATTCCAGTGCATATCACACATGTCTGTGAGTCAATGTGAATGTGGTTTCAGTTTGTGATGCTTGAATTTTGTGGTTATATGAGCTCAATGCCATTGTAGATTCAATGCACCATTTCCTCTTTTCACAGCTTCTTCAGACGGTGCAATCGGTACCTCAGACAGTGAAACAATCACGTTGAACTCCGGAGCTCTACAGACCTTTGAATTACTGCCTGTGAGTACCTCAGATTTATTTTGATCATTTTTGTAAATTTTTTTCAAAACTGTAGGAATTATTAAATAATTATAAGCTGTATTTATAAATCATTTGTGTCATTTCCTCCCTAGTCATTTCACCTGCAGCCCACTGGCACCCCTGGAACGTATTTCCTCCAGACAGGAACCAATCAGAGCCTCCCACTCACACTCTCAGCCAATCCCACGGTCACACTCACAGCTGCAGCTTCTCCATCTTCACCAGACCAGATTATATTACACAGCCTCACGGTAAGCCTTATGTGTGCACAACGTTCATTAAAGATAACTAAAACTATTAAAAAACATATTTGTTAAATGAAATAAAATAACAAATAAAAACCAAAACTTGTTTTATTTCAGTTAGTTGCCAAGGCATTTTTTTTTTTACATTTCAACATTTTTTATTTAGTTTGATATTGAATTACTAAAATGACTAAAACTAAAACTGAAATAAAAATTTATAAAAACTATGTAGACATAAAAACAAACTAATAAAAATGACAAAACACACTAAAACTAAACTTAAATTATTTTTTAAATTATTTTAAGTTTAAATTATTTTATGAAAAATAAAATTATACTGACAAAGAACAACTAAAATAAAAACTAATTTACAATATTAATAGAAATTATAATAGCATGCTACTGATACTAAAATATATACATTTTGCATATGCATACATTATGATTTTTTTAAAAACAAAAACTAATAAAAATGACAAGAACACAGCAAAATTACTAAAATATAAATAAAAAATAATTAAAAAGTTTAATAAAACTATTGATAATAAAATATATAAATTTTACATATACATTTGTGATAAGACTAATAAAAATGACAAAAGCACAGCAAAATTACTAAAACTGAACTTTAATTAGCAAGTATTTTGCTTTATTTTAAAATTTAAATGACAAAGAAAATATAAATAAAAAAGAATTAAAAATTTTAATAAAACTATTGATAATAAAATATATACATTTTGCATATACATTTGTGATAAAACAAAAAAAAATATCAAATTTAAACTTAATGTAATTATTTTAAGTTTTAATTATTTCAATAAAACTAAAATTAAAATAAAAACTAATTCAAAATATTAGTAAAAACTACTATAGTATGTTAATCATACTAAAATGGTGAATATGATATCCCAAAAATAACATGCTGTCACAAAGCCTGCAATTCTTTCTCTTCTGCCCACTTTTACCGTCTGCATTAGACCGACAATGAGAATGTGACCGTTCAGATGTCCCACCCTGGCATCATCATCCAGACGGTGACCTCAGAGGACCTCTCAGACCCTCTCGACCAATCAGAGCTGGAGGGAGAGCAGGAGCTAGCGAAGGAAGAGCCTTCAGAAAACCAAAACAACTCCGGAGAAGAGGAACAGAGTGAGGAGAGATCAAAAGATATACAAGAAGGAGAAAAGGTATCGTCTTCCAAAAATGAAAGTGCTCTCATGCCACCTTCCTGCTCATGAAATTCTCCTTTCTTTGTTTAGACTCTCGACTCTCCTAAAGTTGAGGAAACAGTAGAGAGTTCTGGCATGGGTGAAGGAGCCGTGCTCATGGTTCCGTCTCCGAGCAGCTTTATTCCTACTAATGAGGACATCAGTGCAGATTCTGTCCTGCCACTTGGAACGCTGACAGGTAATGATGTTAGCTTGCTGGCTGACTAAGTCTGGTAAGTTATTTAGAAGGCTAACAGGTAGTGTAAGCGCTCTAACCATTTGATTTTCCATGCAGATCCCATTCTGGAAAACCAGGAAGAGGGATCAGACTGACCAACAAGACACAAAACACTGACTTCAGAGGATATGTTTCCTTATGTAGGGACAAATGCAGCATGCAGGATCATCCAGACATCATCAAAAGAAATGTGCGTGCATCAAAACACTTCAGTATTTATTTATCATGCAAGTTCCTGAGCCTCATATGTGTCTCAGTGCAGTTAAAAACATTAAAGAAGCGACACTTGTTTTTTTATGGTGTATTTAAAATTATGTAATACGTTCATTATTTTAAATGTTTTTTTGTGTGTGTGTGTGTGTACATTTAGATTTGACTAGTTTTTGTAGCCTACTTTCCTGCTTAACAGTAATACTTTGCACTGTTCTGATATATTAGAGCGGTTGTACAAGAATGTTTGCATCATTCCAAATGTCCACTAGACTAGATGGCCATAATTTATCAAATGGTTTAAATATTCACCTTACCTGTAAGTTAGTGCCTCTGTGTTTATTTATTGAATGAACCAAATTTTGTCACCACGTGCATGTCATTACTATTTTGCCATTGAAATGATCTGTTCTCATGAATAAAATGAATTGGACTTTTGTAGCTCAGAGTTTAATGAACAGGGAAGAGGAGATAATTGTTATTGGTTAAATCTTAAATTCTAAACATCTGACTTATCCCCAAAAGCTGCCTTAAGGTAAGGACTGTATTACTAAGCTAGAATAGCTGAAGTTTTTTTGTTGTTGTTGTTGCTTGTTTGTTTTGTTAGAGGAGATATGTGTCTAATTTCTGCACCGTAATACCAAACGAAATGGCAAAAATGGTGATTATGGAGGCTGCTTCCGAACATGCATGATAAACATCGTTTTAAATGAAAACCATCATAGTTTTTATTACAATTTTTATTTCGTTTTTATTTTTATACATTATGGTTTTGATTACATTAGTTATTTTTTAGATTTTTTAAATGATTATTTTCATCGGGTTCATTAGTTTTTTATATTACTATTTATTTATTTATTTTAGTTTTTTTTTTATTTCACCTGTTAGCCATTTTAGTGCCTCAACACCAAATGAAAATGAGCAATGTTGCTAACTGAAATGAGTGTAGTTTTTTTAATGGAATTTTACATCGCTCCAATCAGATCTGGCTAATTCGGTTCTTCGAACGCAGCTGTTGTTGATGATTAGTCTGGCTGGATTGAGTTATCCGAGACAAATTTTTGGACTTTTATAAGGAAACAGCCAAGCGAACAAAACTACATAAATGTTATAATAGATAAATGAAATGTGCACTGTTTTTATTTTATTTTATTTTTTTACATGATTCCCAATTATTTATATTCACGATTTATATAATATTTTACATTTTTATTTCAATGTAATTAGCAATTCATTTAATTTTATATTTGAACAGATTTGTTACATGACAGCATTAATTAAAGTTTCTTAAGAGTCAAGATCATGTTATCTGCATCTCCTGCGCTCCATCAAGCCACTCCCATAATAGCTGTCATCACTCAAATGAATGCACAACTCTACATTATCTGTATAGCATGTGTGTAAGACTCGAATACAAGTATGAAGTAATAATTTTATGACGAATAAATCTTTCAGTGAGTAAAACTGGCTGTGTCTATAGTATTAAACACTACACAACATTGTTATATTATCTTTAAATTATTTAAAGCACAAACACGCATAGATTTGTTGATGTGTTGTTGTTTTTTAAACCTAAAATCTTGTTTAAATAGGCCACTTAGTATTTGACAATTAAGTATGTATTAAGGCAGTTGTTTGCATGCCTATGTTTTTATGTACTATTATAAATACTAACTTTTAAATTCTGATGGTTTAGATGTACTATATAAAGTAATGTCTGTTTATTTCTGTCTTTCCTCTACAGAGTAAGGGATGTGTTTTGAACAGAAGCAGAGCTCTGGGACGTGTGGACAGACTTTCACTGTAATGATGGACATCTGCTCATGGACAGGTAAGACTCATAACTTATGTTTTTGTTTTGTTGTGTGCTAAACATGTAGGTTACCATCATTTTCTTTTTGGAGGGTCACCCCTCTGGAAAGCAAATGATGGTAACCTAAACAGGTGGGGAAGGGACAGCGGAGCTGAAAATTTATACAGCTAAATTTTTATTTTTTTTCTGTCAAGAAGTATAACCCCTGCTGGACATCATGCCGGGGCTCGGGGGGGACCCAAATCATCCCCACGCCTTCATTCACACAACACTCACTCATATCACAGAGATCTGGCTGGGATTGAACCAGCAACCTCTGAACCATGAGGCAGCGCTCTAACCTGCGAGCCACAGATCTCTTGTCTGAACATGTGAAGGAACCTATATTTCACTCTTCACCTGCATGTGATTCTACAATAAATCAGTCAAAGCTATCAGTTGTCTGAACACACTGAGATGGGATTTGAACCCATGCCTCAATCACAGCCTTATCAGCCGAAAACATGTGCTTAACCACTAACCCACTGTTGCTTTCACATTTTGTGCTTGGCTTTCGTGGCACTTTGTTGAATGTAATGACGGCAATTTAAAGTAAGCAATAGTGAGATTTGAATTCAGGTCTTTTAGATGAAAATCCAGTGCTTTAGCTAATGAGCCACTGAATCTCTGGAGTTAGCAGGTGTTTTGGATGAGGTTTTATTAATAACTTTGTTTGAACTAATGAAGAACAAAAGTATTTGGGGGATTTAAATCCAGACGTTGGTGAATGAAAGGCAAACGCTCCTCCACTGAGCCACAGAGTTTGTGATAACAGGGTTTTACTGAGATTTTGACTTTGTTTTACATGATTTGAACTCAGGACTCCAAGAGCAATGTATTAATAAATCAGTCAGAATCAAATGAACAAACACTCATAATTATTTTTAAGAACTTTATTGATCTGTCAAATGTCAAACTCAAACTGATAAACAAACACACAACATGTAAATAACATAATTTGTTAATTTTTATATTATTATTCTTTATTTTAATAAGAAACATAGGGTCCAACAAACGTGCCGGGAAGTTTCTAGTGGTCCTAAAGGCCTTGATTAGCTGCTTCAGGTGTTTTCAGTCAGTTTGGAGCTAAACTCAGGAAAGTGGCTCAGCAGGAGCAGGATTAAACAGCCCTGTTCCTAATGCAGTTTTACAGATGATTGCAGATACACGTATTGTCCACAAGGTGGTGCTGTGTGCTGACAAACTGATCTGAACTCAGGCATGTGTCTGTTCTATTAATTATTAAAAATAAGTAGAAACATTTCGATGTTTAGTCATTAGTTTGTCAGCTGTCATTTTGATACAGGGTTTAATTAGCATTTGTCTAAATCTGTCCTGTTTTCAAATAACCAGTCAATCTTTGCTATAAATGCATGAGTGATCAATCACTCTGACCAGCCAGTTTGTTCTGTGTAGATCAGTCAGGCTCACTTTACACACTGTTCTCACAGACATCCCGGTAGTGAATATATTTGCCTGCTCACTGTCGCTCTCCTCCATCCATAACCTCCTCCTCACCATCCAGAGCTTCAGATAGAGACTCAGAGCAAGATGAGGATTGGGAAGCGCTTGTTATTCAGATGCTCCTCAAGGGGGAGCTGGAGAATCCATTCCAATTCCCCAAAACCAATCGACCATTAACATAAATGCTGCTTGAGTCTGCAAAAAAACACAAGAGACAACACACAAAAATCATTGTTTTGAGTTCAACACAACATTTAATCAGTTTAACCTCATCGATTGAGAGCTGATCAGGTGCATTTAGATAAACTGACAGATTCATGTTTCTCTGCTGGTTGTGACAAAGTATTAGATTTGTTGTAAAATACATTAAATTTAAATCTAAGACTGGCTACCATGTCGTTTGTCGTTTTAATTTATGAATGCTGATAGATTTGTTGACCACACGAGGGAGCAGATGACTTTGAGTCTGCTCGTGAGTGAAACTGAAGTGCAGTTGTTCCTCCGCTCCACGAGGCGGCGGAAGCGGCTTCACGTTCAGTCTGAGCGCTCAGGTAAGACTCATAACTTATGTTTTTGTTTTGTTGTGTGCTAAACATGTAGGTTACCATCATTTTCTTTTTGGAGGGTCACCCCTCTGGAAAGCAAATGATGGTAACCTAAACAGGTGGGGAAGGGATGGTGGAGCTGAAAATTTATGCAGCTAAAGTTTTATTTTTTTCTGTCAAGAAGTATAACCCCTGCTGGACATCGTGCCGGGGCTCGGGGGGGACCCAAATCATCCCCACGCCTTCATTCACACAACACTCACTCATATCACAGAGATCTGGCTGGGATTGAACCAGCAACCTCTGAACCATGAGGCAGTGCTCTAACCTGTGAGCCACAGATCTCTTGTCTGAACATGTGAAGGAACCTATATTTCACTCTTCACCTGCATGTGATTCTACAATAAATCAGTCAAAGCTATCAGCTGTTTGAACACACTGAGGTGGGATTTGAACCCATGCCTCAGTCACAGCCTTATCAGCCGAAAACATGTGCTTAACCACTAACCCACTGTAGCGTTCATATTTTGTGCTTGGCTTTCGTGGCACTTTGTTGAATGTAATGACGACAATTTAAAGCAAGCAATAGTGAGATTTGAATTCAGGTCTTCTAGATGAAAGTCCAGTGCTTTATCCACTGCAGCTGTTCAGCTGTTGAGTGCTTTGGACATGTTTGTATTGAGAGCTCTGTTGTAAAGGATGTCAAACATAAGCAACAGTGGGATTTGAACCAAAACTTTCACATATGAAAGGCTTAAATGCCTTAACATAATCAATAGTGGGATTTCAATTCTGATATATTTTAGGACAAGCATTGATTTATATAATGAAAAATGATTTACCAGTAGTGGGATTTGAAAGCAGTAGTGAGGCTTGAACTCCAAATTTAAAACTAAAGACCATGCTTTAATCCACTGTCTTCACTTAAAAACCTGTGTGAGAATGCTTAAAAAAATGCATGAGATTTAAATTGACAATTATATTTATCATTAATCACTGATTCATCAGTCAATATGTCTTTCAATCCTCTCACCCCTTATAGAAGAAAATGTCATGCAGTTTTTGAGCAACATGTGGGTGAGTAAATGGCGGCGGGGTTGGGGGGGATATTGCAAGACATCCTTTTATGATTAAAAGTTATGTATTTGTTTGCAACACAGAAAGTTTACAGAAAATGGAATACAGGCCTACTTACAAAAAGTTCATCAATATTTTTTTTTAATATAAATTCAAATCCAACTTGAATTTAATTAGATGTAGATATGAGTAGATTGGTTAATTATCTATCTAATTTATTTTGCACAAAGACAAAGTTGTAAGCACTTAATGACAGTGTTGCATGTCCAAACCCAACTGCTCCATCTAGTGGTCACAAAGTCCTGGTGAAATGTGAACCAAAAAATTCCCCAGGTTTTTTGGTGTGTGTAAACTTGTGTAAAACCTTTCCTTGTTTCACAACTTTGTACTAAAAATAAAGCACAACAGATGTATACACAATGTATATTGTGTT